TGATATGTTCACTGTACACTCAAGTAGAACTTTTTGCCATTGAATTTCTTGGTGGTTTTGAAATGTCAATAACAAATGATGCAAATATCATCCTGCCCTAGGACTGCTGTCAGTTGAGATTTCATCCCTTCTCACCCTTTTCTACTCCCTCCACATATTTCCCTGCCCTTCATGACTGTTTGTCCCTTTGCCACTATCTCTTTCCTCCCATCACTGCTGACCAGGAAGCTGCCTTTATCATTACCTTGTATAGGAAATTCTCTTTTAGACACCTCTCCCAAATCTGTTTCTTCAGCTAGCACAGAGTGGCATCAGTCAAAGTGGCTAAACACATGTAATTGGGGGAGTTGGTGGCTGAAGAGGGAAACAACATTTGCTTCAGAGAGCATCTTGCAGTCAAAATAAACAGCTTCCATTTAACATTGATATAGGAAATCTAGTGACACCAACTATCCCTTTCCATACCCACTACCATCTCCTGTTTGGGTCTCATCGAGCTAAAAAGCTTTGGAAGATGGAATTTACAGAATTCACTAGCCTATAAGTAAGTTCCTCTGAAATCAAACAGGAATTACGGGAGTTTATACAAGATGCTAAATATTCAAGGTCAAACTGCTGGCTCCTGCTGGGTTTCATCGGCTACTTGTTTAAACTCTACTTATGTGAAAGTTTTGCTACATATCATTGGGGGGTTATTCAAAAGATCTCTTAAATTGTTTTATAACCATACCTAGACAGGGAAGAAATCTAGGTATTTAGACACTGTTTAAACCTCGAATCAGCAGCTAATTCATTTCAAGGGATGGTCACTTTGGGGAAGATTTGGAGGGTAGTAGACTCTTCCCTCAAAGTAGACTGCAAGCAAGCTGTTGCAAGTGCACCACTTCCCCTTCTAGACACGCCTGACCTATCTTTGCAACAGGGGGGGGGGAGTTTTAAGATTAAGAACTAAGTTTTGTTTAACATTTATGCAAAAGACTCATACAGTGATACAGTATTTGTGACCTCCACATCCCTATGAAATAATAATACAGCAATATCAGTCCAGCAGACCTTCTTAAGCAGCAATTCTTCTGCCTTTATTTCTAGGACAAGGTAAAAGGTAAAGGACCCCTGGACTGTTAAGTCCAGTCAAAGGTGACCATGGGGTTGTGGCGCTCATCTCGCTTTCAGGCTGAGGGAGCCAGCACTTGTCTACAGACAGCTTTCTGGGTCATGTGGCCAGCCTGACTAAACCGCTTCTAGTGCAATGGAACAGAGTGGCGGAAACCAGAGTGCATAGAAATGCTGTTTGCCTTCCCGCCACAGTGTTACCTGTTTATCTACTTGCGCTCGTGTGCTTTCGAACCGCTAGGTTGGCAGGAGGTGGGACAGAGCAGCAGGAGCTCATTCCATTGCAGGGATTAGAACCGCTGACCTTCTGATCTGCAGAGGCTCAGTGGTTTAGACCACAGCGCCACTCTGCTGCAGCAAAACATCGCAGTGTGGAGTGTTCAGTATGTCAGCCAGCCATGGTACTTCCAGGTACTCCATTCTATTTCCCTTGTCCCCCAGATTTTCTGTTCCCTCCACAATAGTTGGTCAATGTTCTGTTGAGGATTTTCAATTCTTGTTAGGCTGTTTTTAGATCCACCTGGGCTTTTTCTAAAGAGCTTTTGAACTTCTGCAGATCTTAGCTTGCTTCCTGCTGAAACCTCTCTTACATGTGGCTGCTTCTGCTTTGGTTACATAAGGATTCACACTCAGAATGAGTAAGCTATTAGTCTAGGAGATAATTGTTCTCAATCACAGGATTGGCTTTTATTCATTAGGTTACAAATAAGTACTTGTTTTTTCTGGATTTTGTATCTGTACTATGTGAGAAGTATTATGTCAAGCAATATTTCATTTAAAACATCTGCCTGTGAGGCTTTTAAAAATAAATTCACAAGTATCTGTAAATTTATTGATAGAAACTGGTGTTTTGTCAAGCACGGGTAGCTATACTTTATAGCAGCTTTTAGATCATTCCTTTCTTTTTTGGACATCCAATGCGAGAAAGAAAACAGACCTGTATAGATGGCTCTGTCATGAACAGCAAAGTTGAAATGCTGAATTGTGTCCTTCAAACACTTCCTAAGAAATATTGATGTCTGCATGTGAATATGTGGCACAGATGGGGGGCACGCAACACACACGCATGCATTGGGGTGGGATTAAAAAAAACACACTATTCTATTCAATATTTGAGTAATAAATACTTTACTGTATAGTTTTAGGATTCTTTCATGGACAACTTTAGGACATGAGAAAAATTAAAATGTGGGGAAGATTTGGTCACAATTGTAGCCCAGGAAAAAGGTGATTCACTGTAGGAGTTTTGTACCCCCAAAGGCTTCAGAATCTCCAAAGATTTTGTAAATGTGAGATTCACCTTCAGCCCCACAGTCACATGTTTATTACAGGACAATTGTGTATACCTAAATATAAAACCATTTGAAAACTTCCAAGCCTAAATGTACAGTAATTTGCAAGCCTTAATCAGATGTAGGCATTTTAGAACTATACAGTTCTTAAATAAAACTGTGCATGTATTTTTCTTAGATGAACACTTTATTTGGTGTAATTGACTTTTTAAAAATAGTGTGTATGTAAATGAGCCTATTGATTCTTCTTCATGGCTTCTGTAGCTAGTTTGAGGTCTTTGTGGTGTTTTCTATTAAATTACCATAGCACAGCTCTGAGTACTCCTTACACATACAACATACAACTCCTTACTCCTACAACACATCCATTAGTTTCTATTTGCATTATTAGGTGCTGAAGGTCTGCTAATGTATCCATTAATAGCTATGAACATATTAGACAAAGCTTTTTTTTAAAATTAAATGTCTGCATGTTGTCTTACTCCTTATAGACAGTGCAAAACCTGCATAGAAGGTCATGAATTAAAGGAAAATTAGCCATTTGCAATAGCTTTTGGACAATGGCAAATGCAACCCAAAGGCTTAATACACCCCACAAACCCATATCAAAAAACCCAGCTAAAAAATGGACAGTAAAATAAACAAATTAAGAGAACAAAAATTATCCAGCTATATCTTTTGACAGAGGTACTTATAAATAGAATGCATGATTGTTCATTACCAGAATTGATACAAGTCACACCAAAATCATGAATTACACCCCACAGGTGCTTTCTACGGTTGTTGCCCCATGGTCAGATGAAGCCTGAGCAAAAGGCCATTGGTACAACTAGCTCAGCAATGTGTTTTGCCCTGACTAGCAGTGGATCTCCAGGATGTCTTCCACAGCTCTGCTGCCTGAAACCATTTTAACCAGAGGTGCCACAAATTCCACTTTAGAATGAAAAGCATGTGCTTCAGCACTAAGCTACAGCATCTCTTCCGATATAGGATCTTTGCTCTGCACAATGCCAGCTGGGACAATGCATGCCTGGTCCTAGTCTGTGTGTAATTCAGTATCTATGGGGGAAGAGGGGAGACTCCATTTCAAATCCAGTTTGTGTTCATATTATACTTTCTTAGAGAAAGCCAGCAGGATCTGTCTGGAAAAAACAAGTATTTGACCTTCTCTATACAGTTTCATGTCCTCTTGCAAAATATCACTGGGATCCAAGTGTTGCTGCTCAAGAACTAGCAAATATTTAATTAATCTTTACTACACACGATGTAAAGACTCACAGCTTTACATATTAAACTTGCTAATGTGGTACGAAATCTCTGAATAGTATATAATGGGGAGTAATCAAAAAGAGCCAAGCCAGGGCTCTCCCTCTACACATCTCATTCATTCCTTTGCCAGCCTGGCACCATTTTCCATTTTAAGATACGAGCTGAGCTTTATGCTTCCAGTAAGTAACAAAATTTGTTTTCTGTGCCCAGTAAGTCATCTCGTGTTTGTCATCAAATTGGCTGCTCTTCACGTATACAACCATTTCCCAAGTATCTTTTCATTTTTTTGCATTCTCTACCCACACAAATATATTTTCATTTTTTGTCTTGTCTATCCACACAAACATGCCCTCAGGAATAAAACATCCGTGATAGCGGATGGGGGAAACAACAGCAACCATAGTTTTAACACACATCCATACACCCGTCCACTTAAGACCTCAGAAAAGTGAAGCAACTTTTCCCATTCAATCTTTCTCTTCATTCCCCCCCCCCCACTGCTTCCAAAAAGCAGCTGCATGACATTTCACCAGTCCCCACTGACGTCAGTGTGTGTTTGGCTGGTGACATCAGAGGGAGCAGAATCTGGGGTGCACAGGAGCATCTTTCACCCCATCAGCAAAGAGACCAATTTTTCAATGTCTATTGTCTGTCTTGTTCATATTCACATTAATAAGCCGGACACAAAACCCATTTTCTCTTGCTTCCAAATGCTGGCATGAGGAAGAAGGAATCTTCCTCCTGCTCTGCAATAAGATATACCTTGCATGCGTGTCTTGATATGAGTCACCTCAGTTTAATAAAGAAACACAATTGCTAAAGTGAAGGCTGAACCTGGAGCATCATATCTGGCCTTTGGGTTGGAAATCAGATAAAAGAAAATGCCATTCAGCTCAATCAAAAAACCCATCATACAAGCCTTCAGTCAAGTGGCTGTAGTAATGAATACCTCTTCACTTTGTTGAGAAAAATGGTAGGTAACTCAGTAGAGAAATATGACTACAAAATATTGCTCAGGCAGTTACTTGGGTGACTATCAAAAGATGTCTACTTAAAATGGATTGCAATATTGGGTCTTTGTTATAATGTTCAATCTCCTCCTGGTGTTGTGCCCTTGTATCTGCCCTTGTTCTGAAGTGCTGGCTTCACTCACGTGGTGCCAGCCTTAGAAGGCATGTGGCTTCCCTTACCTGCCCTTAAGTGGAGAGGCCCTGCATGGTTTGCAGCACATGAAATGCAACCAGGAACTGGTGAAGAGCACCAAGTTAGAAACCCTCGTAGAGTTTGTGTAAATAAGGTATTCTGAGTGCTGGTTGTTTGGCTTACCCTTGCATATCTGGAGGAATAGGGATCCTCAAATAGTGCCCAGATACGGGGCTGCCACCTCTTCCAAAAGCCCCCAGGCCTTCCATCTGGAGAATCACTGAGTGCCAGGCGTTTAGTCATCTCCAGCTCCTCCTCACCATCACCTGAGTCTCCAGTGCCATCTGCATCTCCATCATCAGCACTATTATCCAGAGGTGCCCCACCAAAACTGTCAAGGGCCTCTTCAGCATCACGGTGCTGCCTGTAGGTCATCCAGCAACAGGGCTCCACATCGGTTTCATCAATGCCCCAGAAGGCCAGCTCCTCCTCATATAGAGGTCCACAGACATCTGCTGGGCAGTGCAGCTTACCTGTGCGGTAGTAGTTCAGGATATGGGCAAAGACACCTGGGTGCCGGTCAAAGAAGAACTCATCTGTGCGGGGGTCATAGTCAAAGTGACTGTGGGCATCCGGCTCCGCGATCCAGGCCAATCGAGTGCCGGGCAAGGTGCGTAAGGTGCTGCGGTAAGTCTGATGCCTAGTCCCTCCCACATTGATCACAATGCGATCGCTCTCATCGCCCTGGCCCATCTCGTCTCTTATTAGGCATGTCGTGGACTCATCCAAACAAGCACAACACACAACAAGCACATAAGGGGGCGTCTGCTCATCTGCAATCAATAACTAACTTGATACCTCTCCTATGTGGGGAAGAGGTGCCCCTATCAAGGGCATCCACTGGCCTTGGCCTCTTATACCCTTCACTCCCACAGGGGCAAAGTCAAGAGTACCAGTGAAAGTTAATGATGGCAGATTTGGGTTCTTTACTGGCAAATTGAAACTCATACAAGCCTCATTTAAAATAAGAATATGCCAGATATCCAAGAACAGTGATTGCGAGATATGGTTGGGTAGGTAGGGGTGAGTGTCAGAGTGGGGAAGGGGGGTTGCTTCCTCAATTAAGATGTATCAATTAATAAATCTAGTGGGACATAGCTGACCTACAAAGCGGGTTCAGTGGGGAAGATTGGTGGTGGCAGGGGCATGCAACAAGAGGCTGGAGGCAGTGGAGTAAGGGGTCCACAACACAACACACACATACACAGACACAAATAAGGTGGGAGGAAGAAAGTGGGCAGATACCAATGCCCAGCTGCAGCAATCAAACCCAATCTCTTGAAGATGCTGATGTTTGTAAAACAAAAATCGTTCTGTACTGGCGTCCTAGGAGCAGAGGCAGGAGCAAGAGGTGGCTGCTAGGAAGAGCTCAACACGTAGCAATCCTATTATTTAGGCAGGGTTGTGAAAAACCACAACCAGCAACTAAATGGATGGTGATAACGACGAAGCAATAACAAATCAGCAACGGAATATATAGAGAGATAGAGATAGCTGACAATTCTCCAGATGTAGCTCTCCGATTCAAACAAAAGACCACCAAATCCGTACGCGTCGCCTTCAATCTTCGCTTCCTCTTCGGCTCCCTCCTTGTTGATGCCGATCACACTTTGCAGCCGCCCGAAAGGCGCCTTCGGCCCCTGAGCTTTGGCCGGATCGCCCCCCACCTTCCCCGCCACCAGCGGTGACTTAGGCACGCGACGTGGGCTCGCCTTTGCTTCGGGCAACGTGGTGCTGAAATGGACAGCGCTCCCGCAGCCCTTGACTAGTAGCGCTTCCCTTGACGGGAGGCTGCCACTGGGGATGGATGGATGAAAGGCGATGAGAGGGGTCGAAAGAGGTGGGCAGGCAAAAAGGGATCGGGAACGGGGGGGGTCTTTATTCCTCCTTCCCTACGTGTCGGGCTGAGGCAAGCAGGCGATCCAGGCAGCTTGGGGAAGCCTCAGGTGGATTGTGCTGAGGGAAGTGGACAATCAGCGCGTCTCTGTCTGCTCCTCCCTCCTCGCGCCCGCCGCCCAAGAGCTCTCGCAGGTGGTGCTGAAGGAAGGCTGGGTGCCAGAGAACTCGCCGCCGCCGCCGCGCTTGCCGTTCTTCGCTGCTTCGTCCAGCCAGCCCGGTCTCCGGACACTTCAGCACCGCGCAGGCGCGCTGGGCTCTGAATAGAGCAGTTCTCCCCGGGTCCTAATGCAGCGCGGGGAGGCAGCGCCTGGCAGCTACACGCGCGCCAGTGTCACCTGGAGTGGAAAGGCAGAGACACAGAGAGGGGGGGGGGCGCACAGCAAGGCGGCCAAAGGGAGGGTGCGAATTTCTCAGCCGGGAAGGGAGGGAGAGGGCGGAGGGGATTGCACCTCTGAATGGGATGTCACACAGCTGGAGAAGATCCCGGGGAGCGGTCCCGATTCGGATCTCTCCCTCGGAATGAATGGATTCGGGGGGGGGGCGCACCGGAAAGACCCCGGGGTTGGGCAACCTGGTGCTTCTCTCTGGAAGCCTTAAGAGCGAGAGGCAGCGTGCTGAGCCAGAGGGAGCCTGGGATTGCCATTGTCTACCTTGCTGCCAGCGATTAATGTGGGGACTGCAGGAGACGGCAGGGCTGGGCCTGACGAAGGGTCTTGCTAGCTTTCCTTTGGCTTTTTATTTCGAGAAAGACATAGAAAGGACTGCCTTGAGCCTCCTTTCGTCAACGTGAAAAGATGCACTCAGGCAATTTGGGGAGGGGTGCGTGAGGGAGGGGGGAAGGCAGAGGAGCGGCCGCTCCTCTCAGCCCTTTGCCATAGAACCAGCATTTGACATTAGCTTGGCAACCTTAGGAATGTTGCCTGTGAAAATCGCATCCCACTCCCCATCATCCCCTTTAATCAATAGAGGCATTTTCAGATAGATGGGAATGAGCGTTTTCTCTGACATTGGCTCCCTCTCATCAGAAGTGGCGATGAAGGAGGAAGACAGAAATGGCTGTTCCGCTAGTGGCCAAGAGAGAACAGGCATATTTCCCGGCTTAAAAGAAGCAGAGAAATCAGTTCAGGCCTGCTGAAAGAAAAGATCAATGTGAATATGTTGCTTGATCTTCAGTGTTCAAACATTCAAACCATCTTCAAACATTTTCACTTCAAAATGAAAGAGTTATTCTTGAGATGCCATGGGGAATTGGCAACCTGAGCTCCTAGGTATTATTCTTTATGATTTATGTTCCTAGGTCTAAAACCTTTAAAAAAAAAAAGCTTACTGAATTTTAATAGTGATTAAATAGAGATTTAAAACAACAAGAGAAGTTTCAAAGAGCAAGAAAAGAATGTGGAGGCTACAAATCACAGCCCAGTTATAATCTGAAAATATTGCCAATTAGGCAACCTAAGGCCAGGATCCTGAAAACAATATGTGTGGGATGGAAGTAAGTTCCACTGGGAAATCTGTGGGCCTTATTTCCAACAAATAGTTTAATGGCTAATGGGGCACCAGCCCACAATCTGAACAAATGCAACAGAGGCATTTTCCTAACTGGAAGCATGTTTGTGCCCTGGTCAACAAGATCTGTAGATGTTTCAACAAAACAAAACACACCCCTACTTTGCAAATGAAGTAGATCCATCCATTCCGCTGCATACAAAGGAATAGAGAACCTGCAACTACAACTCCCATAATCCCTGGCCATTGGGCCAAGGTTTCCAGCATCACCTGGAGTACCAAAGGTTCCCCATTTCTTCTTCAGACTAAGGGTGTATCACTACATTTCCCCCACTTCCTTCTCAATTCACTGATGCATTCATGATCAGGTTGCCTTTATTTAATATATAAAAGGACCAGGAATCATACACTATAAGGTTTATGGAAATAATGTCACTTGTACTCTGTCCTGTAATGTGAGGTACTACTGAGACACTAGCAACCTAAGTAAAGGTCTTCATATTTCAGGTAAGATTGCATAAAATTCAATTTCACACCCCATAGCAGTGAAATGGACACAATGCATTATAAACTCTGCTATGTTTCTTTGCTGTGTTACTTTATTATTTCTATATAGAGCTTAACTGGGACACATAAGTGTAATCACAGAGCTTCCTAGAAAGCACTAACATTTATGATGGACGGGAGTCACAGGATACATCTCCTCTGCGTGAGACCATTTCTCAATCAGGAAAACATGGCAGAAATAATATTAGGTTATGTTAAGCTGCACATACTTTGATTAAATGCCGTTTTATAACAGCCTTCCCCAATGTGGTGCCCTACATATTTTTTTGACTACAGTTCCCATAAGCCCTATGCAGTAGTCCAACAACATTTGGAAGACATCAGGTTGGGGAAGACTGTTATCCGATGGGCTGGACTAACTGACCTTGGAGTCACTTCCAACCCTTTGATTCTACAGTTGTAAGTCTGGCGTCTGGAGGAGGTCTGCTAAACTGCTCCGGGCAGCTTTAAAACAAACAAAACCTCAAACACGTTGATTTTCATGCAATAATTCAACATGAATGTTTGACTCATTTCCGTGATTTTAACTGATTGCAGAAAAACTGTTCACAGAATATAGCTTGTGTGTGGACTGGTACCATACCAAATTAGCTGGGGTTCCCAGAGCTCTGAAGCATATGGTGTCCTTTAGCCATTCGCTGCTTGTTCTGCTGCTGTTGGCTGCATGAACTGGCTGAAAGGTCTATCAAGAGATGAATTTTATACTAAGCCATGGACCAGCACATCCTGCCCTGACTGGCAAAGAGCCACTATGACCTCAGACCTGCTTCATCAGATCCTGTGGTTTTTTTTAAAGGTCCCTATATTCTGTACACTAGGGGTAATATGTTGTCGCTGAGGCCAAATAGGTAGAGATACTTCAGAAATGTGACAGACAACATGATGATAGAGCACATGCTTTTCTTTCCTCCTCCCTTGGCTGGAAGTGAGGTCAATGAGGTGTCTGCGAATGAGAAAGAGAAGTTTTAGATTGACACAGAGTCAGAGAGAAACTGAGTTTTAGATTCTGGAAGCTAACAGCATTTGTGGGGTAGCTATGTTGTTGTTTAGTCGTTTAGTCGTGTCTGACTCTTCGTGACCCCATGGACCAGAGCACGCCAGGCACTTCTGTCTTCCGCTGCCTCCCACAGTTTGGTCAGACTCATGCTAGTAGCTTCGAGAACACTATCCAACCATCTCATCCTCTGTCGTCCCCTTCTCCTTGTGCCCTCCATCTTTCTCAACATCAGGGTCTTTTCCAGGGAGTCTTCTCTTCTCATGAGGTGGCCAAAGCATTGGAGTCTCAGCTTCAGGATCTGTCCTTCCAGGGACTCAGGGCTGATTTCCTTAAGAATGGATACGTTTGATCTTCTTGCAGTCCATGGGAGTCTCAAGAGTCTCCTCCAGCACCATAATTCAAAAGCATCAATTCTTCGGCGATCAGCCTTCTTTATGGTCCAGCTTTCACTTCCATACATCACTACTGGAAAATGGGATAGCTAAATCCCTCCCCAAAACATTGATGGAAAGCACTGATATCTGGGACATCTGTTGAAGCTAAGCGGCAACTCCACCTACATGGACCTGTGTGTGTGTGTGTGTGTGTGTGTGTGTGTTCATACATCACAAAAATGCTACAAACCTCCAGTGGCCTCATTCCAAGGAAACAGAACCTGGAAACATGATGTGCTCCTAGAGTTCTTATCACCCAGGACACATGTAACAATATTATTTCAGGAATCCGGTAAAAATGGCATTACTCAAGTGTCCTGCCAAAGACTCAAGTCTTTAAAGATATTGCTGTTAAAACAGATAAGGCAAATCCAATGAATGAAGTACAGTTAAATTTACAAAATGCATTTGACAATTGTCCACATCAAAGATTAATGATGATGGTGTAGAGTTGTGGAATCTTAGCAGAAACAGCTTGCTGGACAGAAAGCTGTCTTAAGAGCAATAGAAAAAGGCAAGTTATAAATGGAAAATCAATCTGTCTCTCTCCTTCCTCCACTCCCTTCTGCCTGCCCTGCACGCTCTGAGAAGTATTAAAAAAGCACTCTCAAAATAAAAGAATGTGCTATACACTCACATGGTTTTTGCTTAATACAGACAACCACTTTGTCCATCCAGATTTCAGAAGTTATCTTCCTCATGTTAAGCATCATTTTAAAGGATCTGCTGAAAACATTCTCATTCCGCCTTATACTGCTCATCCAGTCACTCACTCCTGGTATTCCCCACAGAGGACCTTAAGGTCCATGAATAATCATAGTTTAGAGCTCCTGGGCCCTAAGGAAGTCAGATTATCCTCCACCAGGGCCAGGGCCTTCTCAGTGATGGCTCCACCCTGGTGGAATGCTCTGTCCCATGAGACCAGGGCCCTGCAGGATTTAACTTCCTTCTGCAGGGCCTGTAAGACAGAGCTATTCCACCTGGCTTTCAATTTGAACTTAGCCTGATCTTTTTATTCCCCTTCCTTCCCTCCCCCTCCCCTTTTTATGAAGATTACCCACTCTGGGATCCCACAGCTAATTCTCCCCTGGTCTCCTCGCTGGCCCAAATAGGACTAATTTAGCCAGCTAGCCCTGGTGATCATCTAATGTTTATTGGATGGATTTCCCCCCCCTAAGTTGATTTTTGAATTCTGAATTTATTGTTATTCATGTTTCATACTGTATTTTATGCTGTTTTTAGTTGCATCAGTTAAGTGTTTTAAATTTGTTGTTAGCTACCCAGAGCCCGGTTTTCTGAACCGGGAAGGGCGGGGTATAAATAAAAAAAATATCATTATTACTTTCCCCTAAGGCTCTGTTTGCTTGGTGAAAGCACAAACGGTTTAGTTTTCTGTGTTACAGCTGTTTGCTTGCTTGAACGAGGTAGCCAACCAACTCTTGGGGTTGCTGTTGTTCTGAGGAGAGGGAGAGAGATCCTTCAGGAGGAATTTCAAGGGGTACCTTGGTCATCAAGACAAAGGACCAGGAGAGATATAATAATGAATGCACGTTAATATTAGCCTCATCCTGAGTATCACGAACATTGCCAGGCACCGGCTGTCCAAAATTTCGAACTGGAGCATTTTCCTAACCTTATATTGACATGTTGAGGGTTGAACCTGGAATTTTTTGCATGTAGATCATGTGCTCTCCTGCTTCCACTTGAGCTGCAAATTATTTTGTTTCATCCAGCTTGCATCTGCATATTAAAGTTCTCACGGAGAGAAATCTTTTTTTTTTTTTTAAGCTAACATTCTTCCATCCC